TCCATATGTGAAGCGTCCTGCGACCTGTATTTGCAAAAAAAAAAAAAATGTTTTGTCCTGGTTAAATCTAAATGTGCAAAATCGCAATTTCAACACAAAGCCAACCACCAAAAAAGTCTTCTCCTACGTAAACTATGTGCCAGTAGTTTCCCAGCTTTTAACATCGCTGTGGCTATGCAGAGATTTAAGAGGATATAATAAGCTAAAATTTAAAATACTACATGGGCCAAACAGGAAAGGGAAGAAAGCAAACAATGGAAATTACAGTCTATCCATATTATTTACAAATTAGAACACAGAATTAGCACAGTAGATTCCATAAATTTACAGTGAGCGAGGAATAAGAAGACGGCTCAGTCACATTAATTAGGATTCACCCACAGAAGCATGTTTGTCATAAGAAAACTAGTATCTTTTGTTAAAATCAGCTTATTCATGATATCTACAAAGGCAATTCACAAGATAGTATCTCTGCTGAAACTTACAATACAAACCGGTTTCTCAATCAAATATCCATCCAGCACCGGGAAACTCACTGACAGGTTTGTCAAATTGCCATGACTATGCAAATACTTAAACTTTTTTTGCCCCACAACATTACAGAGGAAATCAATGTCAATCGAAATTGGTATTAAAATGCACTACGAAAGAGAGAAAGAGACCTTGTCAACCAAATGCTGTACTGGTGCTTCTCTACTCTGAGCCTCTTCAACCAGACGAATAATGTCCCCCACTGCAGTTTCACCCCCTGATCTATGCACTTCGACAGTGAGAGTTCCATTCAGGTTTATAGATCCTGCTGCGACTTGACTCTAGCCAAAATATTTTTTCATAAAAAAACTTGAATTATATCTACAAAATAATATTCCAAAGTTGATGAAACTTTTATAAAATGTTCAAAGGAGTGTCGACCCAAAAAGTCGTGATCAAAATATTCTCATCTATCTCAGGCTACACTAGATATAGATAGGATTGGAATAGAGATTTACTTACCCCTGGCTCTTTCGTCACTGGCAATGGTTCACCTGTGAAACTTGACTCATCAATGGCGCTTCTTCCTGACTTGACCACACCATCTGCTGGAACTCGATCCTGGGTAAATAAAGAGAACATAACCCAAACGTCAATGAAAAGGATACACGAAGAAGAACATTAAAATAAGATGTTCATCCTCCTAATAGTTTGCATAAGAATGAATGAGAATATTCCTTCCAGTAAAATAACTAAATGGGAAACAACAACATAATATGCATAAGAATGAAAATTCTCGCTTCTTACTCCTGGTAGTATGATGACTAGATCACCGACAGAGAGACTATTACAAGGAACTTCAACAGTTGAATTTTGCTGATCCCCATCAAGCAGAAGCCGAGCTTTTGAAGGCAAAACACTCAGAAGGCTAGTCATATCACTGGTGGCTTTTATTTTAGCTCTCTGTTCAAGATTCCTCCCCAGCAATACAAAAGCTATTAACATAACTGGTTCCTCAAAAAATGTCTTCCAACCCTGAATGTCAAAATAGTATTACAGGTATATACTATCAGCCATCAGTCAAAAGGATAAATACAGATATGGAGATCAAGAATTTTAATACTCCTAGCTTACAGAAAATTATCCAGAAATAAAAAGATAAACACTATTACTTATGCAGCTGATGTAAAATATGTTAATGAAGCCAAATTGTTCTGTTTCAAAATATTAAAGCATGTATTAAACAAAGCAGAATACTCATCTTTCACGTGTCATTCATTCAACTTCAAATTAACATTTTCAAAACTCATTGATGCATAATCCCTCCAAATATTCATGCAAAATATTTTGCTTAAGTAATCTAGAAATCCAAATATTCATGCAAAATAGTTTGCCAGAAAGTTATAGTTGACTATATATATATACAAGAGCAAGAAAATTTACAATCTACTAACACTTGATTAAAATGGCAGATTGATTTTATCGTTATAAATATCTAAGCTTGAAGAAAGTTGATTACTCGCTTGTATCTAAATGACCATATGGTATTCACGTATACAAGGGGTAAAGTTAGTTGCATATATAAGTTTAGATCAAAGCTTTGTTCAGCTTTGAATGAAAATTTCGTTAGTGTTTACTACTAAAGAAATTTCATAATCACAACAAAACTTCTTTCCACTGGACAGTAGAGGGTGTGAGGGAAAGAATCGTTAAATTACCAATTTTGGAATCATGGCTGCCAGTGAGCTAACAGAAAATGATGACAAAGCCCCAAGACCAACTAGCGTGTTCATGTTTGGAGAACCCTTCAAAAGGCTCTTGACACCATCAAGTACTAGCTTGCGCCCAGGACCAAGCAGCGTAATCAAACATAAGGACACATGGAACCCCGTTGAATGGATTGCATGAATCCAAGGAGCATTAACACCTAGAAAGTGAGTTAAATGGCCAACCAAGCATACAGCACATAGGGCCCATGAAACAACAAGCTCACGGCCTGTAAAACAATCAAGTGATATACAAATTTCAGAAACAAGACATCAATTTCTTATAAAAGCAAATCAAATTTGCGGAAACCATTTAGTCATTTACCACTCTCTTTTAAGCGAGCCTGCTTGTCTTTTGTCTTTGTTTCGAAAACTTTGAAGAAATTCTCTGTCACCAAATCTGGAACAAAGATAGATACTTAGTGCTAATACCAAGAAAGACAACTGTAAAATAACCTGACCCAGAAAAGCAAGGGCATCCAGAATCTTTCTGTGACTAATAAGCTGACATGCCTAAGACTTACCATATGAATAACGAAACAATACATTAAGAGCAACAAAACGAGTGTCGACTAAATTACAAAAGAGCAACAAAAAGAGTGTTGACTAACTTAATCCAGCCCCTAGTCAAGCTAAAATGACATATCGAGTGATAGGTCAGTTACGAAATCCATGACCGAATGAAGGTCAGCCATCAAAAACATAAATGCAATGTATCATTTTGGAAAATTGACCATTATAGAAGAAGATCATAACTACAAAGCTATGATGTCTGGTTCAGAAAAGGCATATCATAACTGGAAAACATAAGATAGATACACGGCCTTAGGATAATCAATTTATCACAAGGACTGACAACAAGGTCTATATAAATGGAACCACTAGCACCAGAAATTTATGTGTACAATCAATTCGCCCTTATCAGCTGCTCTTTATCATCTGTGAAAGGAGAAGTAATCAAGTTAGAACACTTAGAACTAGTCCAGAATAAATTCAAGTCAACTATTGAAAAAACTGAAATTCCTTCAAACAAAGAACATACCATAGCGATAATGATTGCTGCTGGATAAATATTTTGTACTATCAAGGTGAAAACTCTCCTGCAATATCTTCAGGAACTTCCCCTACCCCACAAGTATCCACCGGATTTGCAAAAAGATGATGAGTTTTTTTTTTTTTTTACTTCCAGTCAACTAGCATTACTGAAGCACTAAAAAATAAGGCACTATTTTCAAACAAGATACATGAAAGATTAAAACCACTTGGGGGAAAATATTTCGGCACCCTAGAACCATTTAGCTACCTGTATTATCACAGAATAACCCTATTCCTAGACAGTAAACTGTGAGAAGTTTCAGAAAAACTTTAAACACATGAAATAAGATAGTATGCAGGAACTCCAATCACAGAAACAAACAAGACCTGCAAGACTGAGTCTAAAAGGACCAAAACAAGCTTATAAGGAAAATAGTGATCATGATCCCCAGCAAATGCGACTTTCAGCAAAACAAAGAAAGGATCACCACAAAAATATTAAGAGTCACACCTCGAGGAGTAGACTGAAACCCGCAATTGGTCAGATGGTTTGCAAGCGTCTCCCCTAAACTCTTTTGCCAATCAGGTACACTTTTAGCTTCCGGTACAGGCCACACTATTGCTGTCTCGGTGGTGAGATTAACACTAGCAGAAGCAACTTGAGGCTATACATCAAAGAATAGGAAACAAGAAAAGAGAGTTTTAAATCAAAATAATTGGGTAACCATACTCTGAGACAAAGAAAGAATACACCAATTTGGTCTTAGGCGAGAGATGCAGACCAGGAGAGGAAGAAAAGTAAGAAAAGTAAATAAACTTCACACTTACTTGGCTTTCCAATATCTTCTTCACACTAGCTGAACAACCTCCACATGTCATCCCCTTCAATAGAGTAGAGATCGATGTTAGCAACATAATAACAGTACTGAAATGAATTCGAAATCATGAAGAATAGAGAAACAGAGAGAGCACATACTCCAACATCGAGGATAATAATATCTGACGACGGAAGGGAGACACCATCACTTGCTGCAGCACCCAATTTCGACTTGGAATCACCACTGTCCGATCCTCCGCCACCTCCGCCACCATTTCCACCGTTATACCCACCAACTCCTGCACCACCGCCGCCACTTGAAATACTTCTGAAAGACGGCGATGAGCTCGACAAACACTGCAAACGGCGTCGGATAACCGGCAAAACAGCAGCTCCCAAGCTTCTCAAAGCGGAATTAGAGGAGATAAGGCTACTGCCGTGAAGCCCACCAAGACGGCGCACGGCTGGAGAACAACGAGCCAGCAACCGAGGATGGAGGTGTCTGGCGCCGGAGAAATGACGGTTAAGAGCTTTAGAAATAGTGAGGAGAGGTAATGAAGGACCACCACTAGTTCTGGCCATCGTTGTGGCCGTGGCGGTTGAGAGAGCGGAGAATGTAGACTCCATGGAAGTGGTGGCTCCGTAATCTCTCAATCCCTCGAATCCCGTTATCTCTTTTTTCTTTCCGGTAAAAGTGTTTTACTTCTCTCTATAAACGAGTGGTGTCCACGTGTTAAATCGCATTCTGATTTCTCCAATCTTCTTCATCATCATCATACAATACAATCTTCTTTCTTTTGGTTTCTCAAAAGGCTCAAGATATGTTGAATGAGTCCAGAAAATTAGGAATCATACTTTTCGTTTTATTTGAGTCAAATTTTCCAACTCTCGAAGTTTTTTTCTTACAGGAGTTGCGTAGAAATTTAAACGATTAACAACTGATTTTACGGGTTTAATAAGTTTGTCACTCGCCATATTTTAACAAGTAAAGCGTAACGAAAAAAAAGCACATCCCCCAGCACAGAAAACAATAAACAACAATGTTTTCACTTGGTACACAAAATCAATTACTGAAAACTTAGCAACTTAGTATAGAGCCTCTCTATACACACATAAACTAACTCGGGCAAGTATCCTCTAGACTCCAACAGATGATAAGTGATTCCCGAGCCTTCTCTTTCGCAGACGCTCTGCAATGATGAATGCAAGCTCCAGAGACTGGGACGCGTTGAGCCTTGGGTCACAGTGAGTGTGGTAACGCGAGCTTAGGTCGTTGTATGTGATGGTGCGTGACCCTCCAACACATTCTGTCACGTTTTGACCCGTCATTTCTAAATGAACCCCACCAGGGAAACTCCCTTCTTGATCATGCACATCAAAGAAGGCTCTCAATTCCGCCTGAAACACACCATATAATTCAGTTTATTTAATGGCAAATACATGAATCATACACAAGATTGTATATAAAGACAGAAGATGAAGTAAGGAGGAAATATTACCCTGATTGCATCGAAAGAACGAGTTTTTAGTCCACCTGGAGCCATGATTGTGTTTCCGTGCATTGGATCACTAACCCAAGTCACAATCTGACCAGCTCCACGTACTGCTCTAATCAAGTGAGGAAGCTTAACCCGCATATTCTCAGCTCCCATTCTCACTATAACTGTAATCCTTCCAGGCTTGTTTTGAGGGTTTAGTATCTCTACCAGCCTAACCAGCTCACTAGGGACCATTTTATCACTCACCTGCATTAAAGTACACCAATCACCATCTCTCAGTTTCTCATCAAAAATCCACTGCACTTTCTTTGTTAAGGGTTTTCCAATTCCTTTAATACGAGGCAATTGATAATTCTAAAAAGCACAATCATATTGATCACGAACCTTGATTCCAAGGGGGTTAGCAATTCCCCTCAGAAACTCAACATGAGCACCATCAAGTTGGCGAGTTCGTTCTCCAACCCAAAGCATGTGCGCAGAGCAATCATAGTAAAGTCCGGATGTTGAATCCTCTCTAGTGAGTGCTTGCTCATAAGGTAGCAGTAAGCACTCATGGGATGTCCAAAACTCAGTAGTAGTCATGATTGGGTGAGCATTGGTAAGTCCAGCTGCACCCATGAATCCTAAAGCCTCATCAACTCTATTGGCCAATTCACGGTACCTGTTTAGTCACAACAAGTAGTTATAAGAAACTGTTTCTGACTTAAGAAAGCTGATCTCCAGTTGCTTTTAACATCATAACAAACAACAAAGAGAGGAATTTATGAACCTGTCACCCTGTTCACTATGCTGGGTGAAATCAAGATTCCACTGGCTAACTCTTTGCATAGCTGCATAACCTCCAGTTGCAAATGCTCTCAAAAGATTCAACGTTGCCACAGATTGTGTGTACGCTCTAACCATCCTATGAGGATCAGGGATCCTCGATTTCTCATCAAAAGCATCACCATTTATGTTATCTCCTCTGTAACTCGGCAGCTTCACGCCATCTTTCTCCTCGAATGGGTCTGATCTAGGCTTCGCAAACTGACCAGCCATTCTTCCCACCTGAAAATTTTCAACCCACAAAATCATAAACTTTCTATAGACCAAATTCAAAACATCTAGAAAATTCGAGTCTTGAGCAAAAAATTCGACCTTGATAACTGGCAACTGGCCACCGAACATGAGAACAACGCCCATCTGGAGAAGAACCCTAAAGGTATCTCTAATGTTATTAGCGTTGAATTCTTTGAAACTCTCAGCACAATCACCGCCTTGGAGCATAAAGGCCTGACCCATAGCCGCTTGTCCAAGCTTATCCTCCAGTTTCCTTGCCTCACCAGCGAACACTATAGGAGGAAAAGAGGAAAGCGTCTGTATTACCGACTCGAAATCCTTCTGATCTGGATACTCCGGCAGTTGCAATGCTTTCATCGATTTCCAACTGTCTAGACTCCATTTACCCGAAGCAGAGGCTGATTGGGTAGATTTCTTGGGGTCAGTCGAATGAACGGCGAAAACAGGGGAGAAAGAGATCGGACGGCGAGGAGCGTGGCGGTAGGGTAGAAACGACTTGGTCGTGAGAGGAGACGAAGCGTTTAGAGTCACCATCGTTGGTCTTGCTTTGGGATTTGATTGACGACTGGTTCGGCCACACGATAGAGAAGAGCCCAAAAAAAAAAGAGATGACTTTTATAGCCAATAATGAAAAACAAACAGTAGCCACATACGTACGTGCGAAGCGAACACATCTAATTGAGATAGAGGGTTACCACCGGTTTTAACGTCACCCAATTATCATCTTCAAGTGCTCGCTCCATCGCCTAAACCACCTGTGACACTGTTGTTACAGACTTCAATGTTTTAAGTTATGGCGGATCACAAGATATTTTCTCTCCAAGCTCCTACTTTTCTGATTTTTCCTTCTTCTCTTCACCGTCCATGGGGTTTCTTTCAGAGATTTCCGGGTGGAGTTAGATTCTCGGTTTCCGAGTTCCGATTGTCCTCTCAGCTACAATTGGCTAATTCCATTTCACCTTCACAGTCTTCAGCTTCCTCTTCTTCTCCATGTCCACCGAAGAATTCTGCTCCGGAGAAGTTCGATCTCGTGTCCAGCACTCGTAAGTCTTCGTGTTTCATCTTCTCCTTGTTTTGTTTTCTCTTCCTCCCTGAAACAAGGCTACTGTTTTCGGCAAATTTTTGTGCTTTACCTTTGTTTCCCTAATTTTTTGAAGTGTCTGAAGCCTCAATTACTATAAATTATTACAAATTTTACGTCGAAATTGAGTATCAGGCATCAAATCTTCCTATGTTTTAAAATGTCTGATATATTAGCTTCCATTGCTAAGAATAAAAAAAGTTAGGTACTTTGAAATCTGAGCTATACTCTTATATTAATAGTTGTTTGGATCTGCAGAGCTTAAAGATGGAAGCCATGTCTTTCGGTTCGGGGATGCAAGTGAAATTGAGAAATATCTGGAGGCTGAAGAAAAAGCTAGATGCGTAGAAGTAGAGAAGAAGCAACATGCTAGGATAGCAGAAGAAGCCAGTGAAGTTTCAAGGAAACAAGGGGTTAAAGATCTCGATCGTGTTTCTGAATTGAAGGAAAAATCTGATGCGAAGAAGTTTTTAGTCAATTCTGATACCGAAACAAGTTTTGAGAAAGAGGAAAGAGCTGCTCCTTCCAATCTTAGCAATGTCATCAAAATTAAGGATCGTAAACGGGCTCGTGCTCCTACTAAGAAAAAGAAAGAAACTTCAACGACGGTGAACATATCACGGACGGAAGGCAAAGTTGAGGCCAAAACTGTTAATGTGTCCAATCTAAGCTCCATAGTTACTGTAGCAGAAGCTATTCCTACTAGCTCTACTCAAGAAAATGTTGTTGTTTCTGATAAATCTGAGCCAGTTAATGTGAATGAAATCACGGTTGAGTCATATAAGGTAGAGCCTCTTTCTTCTGAAGTCATGGAGGAAGTTTCAGTCAATAAAATAGGAGATCATGAGACAAATGGTTGTCGACAAACCTCTGATACTTGTACGGAGGTTCAAGCAAGAGCGAGATCATCTACTTCACAACATAGCTCACAGTCCAATGATCTTGAGGAAGTTGCGCCTGTATCCACCATCAAAATTGATGACAATTTGGCTGTGAGGGAAAAGCCTGAGAAAACTATTCAAGCTGAGGTGAATCCTGTAGTTGAACCAACAGCTACAGCTGCTGTGCTTCCAGATGAACTCATTTCAACTTCAGAAGCAACACATTGCCATAATGATGATATCGCTCAAAAGCCTGTAGTTTATACGTCTGAAGAAAACCCTATGAAATCTTTTGAAGCTGAGGAGAATATTTTAGTTGAATCTGGCTCACAGTCCCATGATCTTGAGAAAGTTGCGCCTGCATCCACCATCGAAATTGATGACAATATGGTTGTGAGGGAAAAGCCTGAGAAAACTATTAAAGCTGAGGAGAATCTTGTAGTTGAACCAACCGCTACAGCCGCTGTGCTCACAGTCCCATGCAGCGTTGATGACATCGCTCAAAAGCCTGTAATTGATACGTCTGAGGAAAACCCTATGAAAACTTTTGAAGCTGAGGAAAATATTGTAGTTGAACCAGAAGCAACACATCTCAGCGCTGAGAAGCATGTAGTCGATACATCTGAGGTGGTGAGTCCTAACTCTAAACCATTAAGTAGTTTAACAGTGTAGAAGGATAGAGACGTCAGAGACTGTTGTTATACAGAATATAGTGCCACCACTCTAATTACTTATCATTCATGAAGGAAAATGATGGCGAAAATGTGGCTTCAACCTTAGGAGATGAAATAAATTTGAGTGACACAATAACTGATAATGATGACATATCTAAAACTGCCGATGATACAAAAGGGGAAGATCTCCAACTTCCTGCACCAGAAACGGCCATTCTTGAACCCATTGCAGTGGCTTCTGGCAGGTTAGTAAGTGATATAATTTACTCTTGTCTTAAACAAACTGTATTATTGTCTTGCATAGATACAGTTACATGCATATCTATGTGTATTTTCATACTGGGGAATCATATCGCAGCTTTTATTATAGTATGCTTGTTTTGCTGTGATTGGATGTTTGACATTTAAACAGGGAAGAAGTTGTTTCCAAAGCATTTTACGTGGACTCTGGTTTGGCTTCACTCCAAAGCCCCTTTAAGGTACCTGTGATAAAAAAATTTTTTTTTTTTTTTTCTGTTTAGTATTTAACTAAAAGAAGAGAGAGTTGTTGAATATTAAATTATTAACACTCGATAATAAAAAAAATAGTATACTGCAAGGTTATCTCAAGATCTTTCATATCTTGTAATATCTTAATCACAGTCTCATTTCCCACCATCTCAAAAACGTCATGTCAAACATTCTGACAATTTTTGAACTTTTGAAATCTTTATGCTTATGTTATGTGGTAAGTAATTTAGAAATAATGATGCCCAGGCATTGGCAGGTCGGGAAGATGCTTATTTTATCTTTCACCACAACTGGATAGGTATTGCTGATGGAGTCTCTCAGTGGTCATTTGAAGGTACATTTAAGTATTTTGCACATAGTTTTCCAAATTTTTGCGGAAACTCACTCACGTGTATTGTTATCTTGTCGAATATATGTTTGGTTCATATTCAGGAATTAATAAGGGAATGTATTCTCAAGAACTCATGAGCAATTGTCAGAAGATTATTTCTGATGAAACTGCTAAGATAATTGATCCAGTTCAAGTTCTTCATAGAGGTGTCAATGAGACTAAGTCCTCTGGATCATCGACAGCCTTAATTGCTCATCTTGACAATAATGTGAGACTTAGTCCCTAATGGTATATACTACATTGGAAATCCTTTCGAGATAGAGTCAGTATGTGATCATGTAGAATTACTTTATAGGAACTCCACATTGCCAATATCGGAGATACAGGATTCATGGTCATTAGGGACGGCACAGTATATCAGAAGTCGTCTCCAATGTTTCATCATTTTTGTTTTCCCTTGCAAATTACGCAAGGCTGTGATGTCCTAAAACTAGCAGAGGTACGATGCTGTTACTTAAGCAATGATATCTTTATTCTCAAGTAGTAGACCCTCTTGAATGATTCATCTCAACCAGCATATTTGCAACATATGTGGTCTTGTTTTACACAATTTGTAGGTTTACCATGTGAACCTGGAAGAGGGCGATGTTGTCATAGCAGCAACTGATGGACTCTTTGACAATTTATACGAGAAAGAAATAGTTTCAATAGTTTGCAGATCGCTGGATCAGAATTTGGAACCTCAGGTGCTCAATGTCGTGAATTTCCTTTCTCTTTGTTTTTTTTGGTTGACCAAGTAGTTTCGGGTCTTGTCTTGAAAGACTAACTTTGCTCCCAAAATCACATTGGTATTAAGACGAAAACCTACCGAATCTTACATCAATGTGTTTGTGTTGGGGACTATTAGCAGAAAATAGCAGAATTGGTGGCTGCAAAGGCACAAGAGGTGGGAGGATCAGAAACAGAGAGAACGCCGTTTGCAGACGCAGCTAAAGAAGAAGGATATGATGGACACAAAGGTGGTAAACTTGATGCTGTTACTGTGATCGTTTCATTTGTGAAAAAAAATGTTTCTACTTAAATATGCATCCTCCTCAGCGACTCTAAGATGTAAATAATGAAGAAATACAGAGACAACAACATTCTAGTTTTTTCATTTTTTATTGAAACGATGTACACTGGAGTAAACAGGCATTCCAACAATCATGGGAGCCGGATCAGTCCAGGATCCGACCCGGTATCCAGTTTCCGACCCAAACCTAGTAAAACAGAGAGAGGGTCTCTGACTCTGAGTGATGCTGAACTAGAATACCCAACCCTGACTCGACCCACTCAGACCAAAAAAGGATGAAGCTTTTTCTGAGAAATGCTTCAGTAACCTTAAACCCTAAGAGCAAACTAGCGACGACGATTCTCCCTTCAATCCATCAAATTCTCGTTAAACCCTTTTCCCAATCCACCACCATTCCCAGAAAGCAGGATCGAGTTCGTGACCATGGCTACGACAATTACATGGAAGTGGAGAAAAAAATCCGTAAAGTCATCAAATTTCACAGCTTGATACTCTCTCAACCCAACAGTACCATCGCAATCTCTCTTCTAGACACGCTAGCTCGCCGTCTGGGTCTCGGCTTCAAGCAACACGAGCCAGGCGCTTTCCTCCTCAAATTCCCACACGTTTTCGAGATATACGAGCACCCTGTTCAAAGAATCCTCTATTGTCGATTAACCCGAAAGGCTTTGGATCAAATCTGTCACGAGCACGAAGCTGTTCTCACCCAAATACCCGACGCCGTGACCCGGTTGCGGAAACTCATTATGATGTCGAATACGGGTCGGATCCGTCTTGAACATGTCAGGATTGCTCGGACTGAGTTTGGACTCCCTGAAGATTTCGAGTACTCTGTGATTCTGAAACATCCACAGTTCTTTCGGCTCATTGATGCTGAAGAGACTCGAGATAAGTACATTGAGATTGTGGAGAAAGATCCTAGTTTATCGATTTGTGCAATTGAGAGAGTTAGAGAGATTGAGTATAGAACAAAAGGTATTGATGCAGAGGATGTTAGATTCTCCTTCGTTGTGAATTTTCCTCCTGGATTTAAGATTGGAAAGTATTTTCGAATCGCTGTTTGGAAATGGCAGAGACTTCCTTATTGGTCACCATATGAGGATATATCAGGCTACGATTTGAGATCAATGGAAGCACAGAATCGATTGGAGAAGAGAGCTGTTGCTTGCATCCATGAGTTGCTGTCTTTGACTGTGGAGAAGAAGATCACGCTTGAGAGAATTGCTCATTTTAGGAATGTTATGAATTTGCCTAAGAAGTTGAAAGAGTTTCTTCTGCAACATCAGGGGATATTTTACATATCGACTCGTGGGAATTACGGGAAGCTTCATACGGTGTTTTTAAGAGAGGCATATAAGAGAGGGGAATTGGTAGAACCAAATGATGTATATTTAGCTAGGAGGAGATTAGCTGAGCTTGTGTTGATGAGTCCTAGAAAGGCCAAGGTTGATGCAGAGTTAGTTAGCTACAGAAACGGATTGGATGATGAAGATGATATCGAATGAACATACAATTTTCTTGGCTGTTGGTTTATCTACACCCTCATTCTCTGGGCATTACTGTAAGATCCTTATGTCACTATAGTTTTCCTCTGATGGGATTATAACCAAATGAAAATGTTGTTGAGTTTGAAATTTATCATTTTCTTCTCTTCAAATAGCAGATTCGTACCCAGAAAGCTAGAAGTGGACTGATGATGAGTTGATGGTTGTGAAAAGATGCTTCTTGATTGGGATGGATTACAGAAACTTGAAATGATTGTGAAGCTCAATCATTGTTCTGTGTCAAAGTGAATGGAAGAAAGATGCCAACAAGATGGCTTACTTCAGCTGCAAGATATACTTTGGCTCTACTCTTTCTCATCAGCGATATTCCTTAACTCGATTGTTGATTTTCGCAGATACTAAGAAACACCCTGGAATATTTTTTCCACAAGTCCCCTGTGGTTTAAGCTAAGAATCCTTATTACCTGTCTACTTGTTGAAAACCAACTAAAAAGGTTTCTTTGCTTATGCGAATACCCCCATAAGCATCAACAAAAAGACAATTCTTTGTAATAAATATCTTCAAACTCGTAAATGTCTTGGCCTTTGTCGTTTTCCATTATCATCATCACCATCACGTGATTGGCTAATACAACCAACTACTTTTCTATTTTTATTATTTTGCCACAAGCCGTGAAAAAGATGGAGAAAATGAATGTCCGTTTTATGATTGTGTTGATGGTTATGTGTCTGGCTCTGGGTTATTCGTCGGCAGTTGATTTCAGATGGAGGAGAACAGCGGGATTCTCTGATAGATTTACCAGAGCTGTCTCTTCAGTAGTGTTCCCAGTTAATGGCAACGTTTATCCTCTTGGGTATATATTTCCAAACTCTTTCACAACATTATTGCTTGCGTACTCAGAAATGCTCTAAATTTTGTTTTTGGAACAGATATTACAATGTTACTATCCACATAGGACAACCACCAAGACCTTATTATCTTGATCTTGATACTGGTAGTGATCTCACTTGGCTCCAATGTGATGCTCCTTGTGTTCGTTGCTTGGAGGTAATATAATAATTTTTCATCTTCAGTTCTCTTTTTTTCTAGATCCATTTTCATAGTATAGTAACCATACGAATTTACGATACCTTTTCCGGTATCAGGCGCCTCATCCACTTTACCAGCCTAGTAGCGATCTTATTCCTTGCAATGATCCACTGTGTAAGGCGTTGCATTTGAATGGTAACCAGAGATGTGAGACTCCAGAGCAATGTGACTATGAGGTTGAGTATGCTGATGGAGGATCTTCTCTAGGTGTTCTTGTTCGAGATGTCTTCTCTTTGAACTATACAAAGGGTCTCCGGCTTACTCCCCGTCTTGCTCTAGGGTATATTTCTATTTCTACAATCCTTGGACCGACAATTTTCAAATTGATTTAAGCAATTGTAGTTCCTAGCAAGCTCTCAGTGGAGTTTTCAGTGTAACAGATGCGGGTACGATCAAATCCCAGGGGCATCGAGTCATCATCCTCTAGATGGAGTATTGGGACTTGGTAGGGGGAAAGTAAGTATTCTGTCGCAGCTTCATAGCCAAGGTTATGTCAAGAATGTTATTGGTCATTGCCTAAGCAGTTTAGGTGGAGGAATTCTCTTTTTTGGCAACGATCTTTATGATTCTTCAAGAGTCTCTTGGACACCAATGTCACGTGAATACTCGTAATTATATAGCCCTTCTCTTATTTTTATCTTTGACCCAGTCACCCTTTTCTTGTTTTTTGCGCTAATTTTGCAACTTTCTTTGTCAGAAAACATTACTCTCCTGCAATGGGAGGGGAACTTCTATTCGGGGGAAGAACAACGGGACTGAAGAATCTGTTAACAGTCTTTGACAGTGGAAGTTCTTACACATACTTCAATTCCAAGGCATACCAAGCCGTAACATATTTGGTAAGGAACTTGCTGTAACCTTGGAAGATAAAGAGCAAAGAGACTAGTTTTTCATCAAGTCTTTTTGTTCTTTTTGTAGCTAAAGAGAGAACTAAGCGGAAAAGCATTGAAAGAAGCACGTGATGATCACACGCTGCCTCTATGCTGGCAAGGACGTAGACCATTCATGAGCATTGAAGAAGTCAAGAAGTATTTCAAGCCTCTAGCTCTTAGCTTCAAAACAGGCTGGAGATCAAAAACTCTGTTTGAGATACCCCCAGAAGCTTATCTAATTATTTCTGTAAGCATTTCTGTTCCACGTTTCCCATCTATTCCACGATCTTGTGTTTTTTGTACAATGCCAAACAAATGGTTTATTAAAATGTTGCAGATGAAAGGGAATGTGTGCTTGGGAATCTTGAATGGCACAGAAATAGGTCTCCAGAACTTAAACCTCATTGGCGGTATAGTCTTTATTTAAACTACCAAATTGAGGATCTTGAGGTCTCGGGTATAGGTATATATTAATTCCCTTTTCTTCTATTTGAATCGACAGATATATCGATGCAAGATCAGATGATAATCTACGATAACGAGAAACAATCAATCGGGTGGATGCCAGCAGATTGCGATGAACTTGCTTCACTAAAAGCTGCTCAAGTATATGAATATTGAAAAATGTTATATAGTTGGGACCAAAAGCTGATGATAGTTGTAATTAGATCATATATTGAGACATGTTATGTAAGTGCCTAATGCTCCGAGAACTATGTTCTTTCACTATTTGGTTTAACTGGAATGGCTTCAACTCCTCCTATGATACGATTAATGACTTTTTCTTGTGCAAACTTTTTAAGTTAAAAATAAAAAAGTTTGGTTTTTGATAAATACACTGTTCAAAAAAAATCACAACTTGACGGTCGAAACTTACCAACACATATCTCCGGCCGGCGAATTCACTTGACTTGCTCACACTCCACTCTCTGAAGCAGCACCCAAGTTTCTCTCTTTCTCTCTTCGATGGCTTTCTCATACTCCTTAACTTCTCCTTCACCAAATTCGACTCTCTCATATTCCAATATCCATCAATTTCTCAACCCGTCTTCTTCGTTTCCCGTCTCTTTATCTGTCTCATCTCCGAAGAGCACCCGCCGTCTTCGTCTCATCATCACATCCGCGGTGAATCCGCAAACGAGACAGCCGACGAAGAAGGCCTCAACGGGTAGTGGCAATAGTAACAGTAGTACGAACAAGAAACGTAAGAAAAAGGGGAAAACTGCGAAACCTGTGGAGGATTGGGAATTGAGAGATGCAGATGGTCTTGACGAAGATGTTGATTCTGATTATTCTTCTTCTTCGCGGTCTCTAACAACATTTAACTCTCCTCCTACCATACCTAAACCACCTGCTGGGTTTGTGATTGATGAAACTGGTAGGGTTCTTATGGCCTCTAAGAAGCGAATCGCCACTGTGGTGAGTCTAAAATTTCACTTTGGTTATGGACTTGATAAGTTTGGTGTTTGAGAAAAAAAGAGAATCTAAAAAGGTTTTTGTTTTGAGACAGATTGATCCAACAAACAGTAGCCCTTTGGATTGTGTGATAAGAAGAGTTTTTACTAGTAGTAAAGGAGAGGATTGTATGCTTCTTTGCCCTGTGGATACGTGAGTAACTGCTGTTTTCGCTCTTTCTCTTATCAATTTAGCTACTTCGTCTTTTCTGTTTGATTGATTCACTCCTTGCTTCAGGCCAGTTCAGATTTTGAAGAGCACGAATATTGATGGATGGTCAGCTGTAAGTTCTCTCTCCAACAATCTTTATCTCATTCATTGCACATAGCCTAGTGTAGGCGAGGCCTTTTCGGATGCATGAACACTATGCTTTCGAGAACTCTGATATTGGTTCAACAAGTCACCCTCTGTAGAATAGTCATTCTCTAGAACATCTCTTCTATTGGGACCTTTGTTTCCTAACCTCTATGGTTCTGCCGTTTAGGTCAGCGATGAAGAGGTTGAAGCTCTTCTTCCTGCTGCTGCTTTTGCTCTTGCAAAGATCCATATGCATCTAGTTCACAGCGGGTATGACTGTACCCTGTTTTCGGCATGATATTTTTGAATATCCTATTGTCTCTTTGTGTCTGATACCCATTCAATGGGTTATTATCACTCTAAATCAGGTTCTGTTACACTGCAAGGGGAGGCTTTTGCTACACCGAAGATAATGTCTTTGATTTTCGCACAGGCAAACACGCTTTTTCCTCTAATATTTACACATGATGAAAATTCTTCTAATTAATATTCTCTGGCGTCTGCTCTAGTTTAGCTTGCTAAATGATTTTGGCTTGCGGGAATTCATGCTTTATATTTATGTATCAAATATCAAAACTATGGTCATGTGAACTTCCATTTTAGTGTATGTATGTGATTATCTGCATTCTTCCTCTGATGTTCTGATCTCACAAACTATTCTTAACGTGAGATGATTTTATGGTTCTGTTCATATACTTGTAGTTTTAAGTTCTGTGTCATACTTTTTTCAGATTATTAAATGTGTTGAGCAACAACTTTTTGTAGATGATGGCCAAGATGTTGAAGGCTTGCCAACTGAAGGGATTGAGATTACGTGTTTCCATCTGGTATACCATTGCTTTTGGCATTTTGCTTATTGATATGTTTTGAGGTGCCTTTACACAAGTCTGAATATCTTTTGGCTCTCTCACACTATTATAGCATATTTCAAAACACTAATACATGAAATTTAATTTCTCAATGTGTCTCTGAAGCAAGTTTGTATTTAGTGCTCCATTGTGGATCCAAAGTTGACAATTACACTCTGATTGTGATATATGTATAGTTCAAATTCTGTAGAACATGAAACTAAGATGTATGATGTGCCCCTTTTTCCGTTGTCTAAATATGAATTATATCTCAGGATGGATCACACTATATGGTCTACACACCTTCAGATCCACTTCTCTTTGTTGCTGCTAAGGTAAGCTTCTTATTATTGGTTGTTTCTTGTCACAGACACAGTTATGCCAAGCTGTAGCAGAAGATGTTGTTACTTCCATAGAAAAAGATATGGAATCGTTTAGAATATAATGTAGAAAAACAGAGTGGTAAATAGTAATTTCATCTATGCAGGATCAAGATGGGCTGCTGCAAATTGCTGATGATGTAAGTGAACGTCCACTTTGTACTTTTTTTCTACGCAACTTGGTTACACATACCGTTTCTTTTGGGTTAATGAAAAGGTTTTTAAGCAAAGTTGAACCACTAGGCGTTGACCAATATGTGAATTCAACAAAAGAATAAAGAAGACTGTTAGAACTGAATTAAGTATTTATGCAATAGGCCTTGACGAACGTACATGTTATACAAGTGATTTTAGTAGACAATATAGAGTGAAGGGAAAGTGAACTTAGTTCTTGATTATTTCTGGTTCTCTGGATTTAGAATTGAGAATTTCTTGTAATCCAAACAGTAAGGCTTCTGTGTGATCAGTAATATGAAGTAAGCTTACCATTCTGTGCCAATGGGTTTGCAGGAGCTCTTAGATGATCCAGCTGTGATCAGCGCCATAGACGAGGAAACCGAATTCAATGCCTTGGTGGTACGTAGAGAATAAAAACAAAGATTATAAAATATGAGGTTGTTTGTAAAGTGATGTTGAAACACTTCTTGGTTATTGATGTTTGGGCAGGAGGAAGAGGCGGCTCTCCTTGAATCACTTCTTGGGGAAAGGATTTAAAGCTTTCATAGGGACTGCTTAGCGTTTACATAGTTGCTCCTCATTTGTAATATTAATTTCTCTTATCATTTTGTTTTCTTATAAAAACTCATTTTGCCTTCAGAATGGAATGGATAATTTGGGTTCGATCATTTGTATTATCCATAAACAAAACAGAAATCCACATGATCAAGTGATCCGTGCAGCACCTTAACATCACTACTAATTAAATCAGAGGCTCCTTTTCAGTTTTCAACGTACCAAAAATGTGTGTGCTCTTGTGGAAGGAATTAGGACCATACAAAACCTATCCACTAAAGAAAATTAATCAAAATTTTGGTTTTCTTTTGTTGTTTTTGACTTAGGTAAGCTCTGACTCTGAGCTTGAGGGACGCACTCATGTCCATGGCGCTAATCGCCCAACCTCACTTTGTTCCTGGTAAGTTTCTACTTTCTTAGTTCGACGCTTTCAAAATTTGCCTTCTTTGTAAACCATTAGATAGATCTTTGTGAATTTTAGTTATGTCTGCTCCTCTTAAAAAAAAAAAAAAAAAAAAAAAACATGGACGGGAAGGGTTTCAATTCACAGTATTGGCAACACATGTTCTCCTTACATATAATTGGGATATTTCGTGAAATGATATATCACATTTTATTGCTTTAGGAAGTGCTGGAATCTCTGGGACTAGACGCATATGGAAGAAGAAGAAGCCTTGGATTGGTTTCGATTCGAGAAATGAATTGAGTTTATGGAGAAAACACCTATTGAAACCCAATGGAGCTTCTTCTATTTGTTGCTCATATGGTACAGACAAGGATCCTCTCTTACCTTCTATCCAGCAATTAACCGATGCTCGTCTCATTTATAGTGTATCTGCAGCATTGGGTCATAACAAGGTTTTGACTTGCAATATTTGGTTGCTTCTCTCCCTCTCAATTCTCTTTTTCGCTTCCTTTCTTAAGCAACCTTTCCTTTGCTCATAGGAGTCACATCCAGAATGCAGTGCAAGAGTTCCTGCCATTGTTAGTGCTCTTGAGAAGAATGAGCTCACTCCTAAGGTATGAAACGATCCCTCTCTTTGTGTAGCTATGGAAGTTTCACTAATTATAATTTACAATATTGAGTCGAATCTTAAGAGGATGAAGACCAAGATAAATCTCCGAATCACTATGCTTGTGGATAATTTTGTAGGATTGTTCTTGCACCTTTCTGGAGTTAGATTATGATATGATCTGCACTATTATATTGCACATTTATTATCATATGCTAAATATTTCATTCTGTAAGCCAGGGGTATGCTATTGTTGTATGAACCAATCAGTGTCTTCAGAGACTCATTTTTCCATTGTTCCTCTCTTGTCTGCTTTTTGTTGGACACTATGCTTTTTATGTGCTGAAGATCTCTGTCACTCTTTTACTATCAGTGAATGCCCATATATGAATCCTTTTTCTTTGTGTATTTCAGCTCCGTGGCTCACAGATTCTTGAACTCGCAAATTTCAGGACTGCAAGTATAGAAGATATTGCAAATGTTCACGACAGGGCTTATGTCTTTGGCCTAGAGAAGGTTGTTTACTTTCCTCATGTTATATTATTACTTTTACTGCAGAGCTTTTTATTCCATTACTAACCAATATATTGACACATAACATAGCCAAGTAAGTAGGATTGCAGATGAGAATGTATGAGTTTTATTTTGACCATTGCAAAGCCATTCTTAGTTTAGGCAATGGATGAAGCTTCAGATTCGGGACTAATTTTCATCGAAGGCTCTGGACCAACATATGCCACTTCCACGGTAACTGCTTTATGCTCATCGGTTTACATCTCTAGTGGAACCATCGTTCCTGCTTAAATTTCTTCCCTCCGTGACAGACATTTCAAGATTCACTTATCGCAGCAGGAGCGGGAATGGCTTTAGTTGATTCAGTGGTGATGTCTCGTTTCACCATGTTAGTCTGCTGTTATTGCTTCAGTTTCATTATGTTGGAACTGGTTATAGATTTCTTAGTAACTTTATGATAATTTGTTTCAGATCGCAGCATCCAGAAAGAGTCCAGATCCTCCCACTGGTTTTGCATTGATAAGGCCTCCAGGACACCACGCTGTGCCAAAAGGTCCAATGGGGTTCTGCGTTTTTGGAAATGTGGCAATCGCAGCTCGTCATGCCCAACGCGCACATGGTCTGAAGCGCGTCTTCATAATTGACTTTGATGTTCACCACGGGAATGGCACAAATGATGCATTTTCTGAGGACCCTGATATATTCTTTCTGTCAACGCATCAGGTAAGCCCCTGACATTTTTGGATGACATGTTTATTAAGATCATTGATAGATTTCAGAAATCAACACACAAGTCGTTTTTATATTCTGAAAAACGCAGGACGGAAGCTATCCTGGAACAGGAAAAATCAGTGACATAGGTAAAGGAAAAGGTGAAGGTACCACTCTAAATTTACCACTACCTGGAGGGTCAGGTGATATTGCAATGAGAAGTGCTTTTGAAGAAATCATAGTTCCATGTGTTCAACGGTTCAAGCCAGATCTTATTCTTGTTTCTGCTGGGTGAGTGAGTGTAAAATAAAACGTCTTTGTATTGTGTCATCATTATCTCACAAACTGGTCTGTCTCATTGCTTAATCTGCTTAATTAAGGTATGATGCTCACGTCCTGGATCCACTAGCAAATCTACAGTTCACGACAGGAACGTACTACTCATTGGCGAAAGATATAAAGCGGTTAGCGAAAGAAGTGTGCGGAGGACGTTGTGTGTTTTTCTTGGAAGGAGGATACAACCTTGAGTCACTTTCATCATCTGTGGCAGACTCGTTTCGAGCATTGCTTGGAGAAGAAAGCTTGGCATCAGAGTTTGATAACCCAGCCTATTTGTATGAAGAACCAATGAGAAAGGTGCGAGATGCAATAGAGAGAGCCAAAAGTATTCATTGCTTATAACTTATATAACAAAGGATTTGCTTGGGAAATTCTCCATAGTTTCCATACTATGTCTTAAACTATCAGGACTTATGTTATTTTGTAAAGCTGTTGGGATTATATAAATTAATAATATACAATACGGAGATGTAGAGTTTATATTTTCTTTTGGTAGTAAAAAAAAAATCGTGATAACCGCTCCTCTTCTCTTCATTCCCACCGTTCAATAATAACACAGTCAATTTGTTTATATTTCGGTTTTTGTTAATTACAAATCAATGTTCACTAAAAGTATTTTGGTAATTTTATTTCTAAACCTAAATAATTAATGACTAGAACATGAACATGGCGATCGTACTAATAAAAATTAGTAGACCATTTTTTGGTTTTTTGTTATATTATTACTAGACTATTATTTCTCATCGTATTTTCTAACTTATTCATGCAAAGTTTGTAGACATTCACATTACTGATTACATTAATTTATGTAAATAAATGATTACGATTTTGTTTATATAATAAAACTAAGTAAAGCGTACAGGTAGTGTTTCTAGTGAACCTGTTAAAAAAGAGTCCAAAACGGATGGCCGTCATACCTAATCATGTCTATGTAAATGACATAATCAAAAACTTCCACGTACTTGTTCTTTAAATCTGGTAATCAACAAGTAATTCTCAACTTTTTTATTTATATGATATCTGCGAACTTAGCCCCAAAAAAAAATAACTTAATTCTCTGAATCATTATAAATAATAAATAAATAAGAACGAAAATATCTAAAACCGCCGACCAACTCCAATAAAAATAATAAAAATCGTCTTGGAAGAAGGAGAAGAAGAAGAAGTATCTCGTTACGTTATCTTCATGCAAATCGAATTCTTTTGTTGACTGGCCATAGCAATACAAAACCAATCCGACACGTGCATACTCACTACCATCCTTCACTCGCCACGTGTCCTCTATCCACCGTCGCGATCCGCCCCACCAAGCCACGTTGCGTGCGTGATACAGCATCTTACTTTAACCTACTCAATAAAAACTTTAGATATTTTTAAAACAAAATTCGTATATACATATGTCCGCAATCTCCTATATAATCAATCAATCAATCAATCAACCATTTAAAGAGATTCATCAAAAACACTTTTTTTGTTTGTTTGTTTTGACTTCAAGCTATATCGATGATCTTAGAGATGGAAGTAAGCAAGAGAATGGAAATGCTAGAGAGGAGGCCGTCGATAGAGACGGAGCCGATGACACTGCATCTTGATCAATTAGAAAATGCTCGTGAAGAAGCTATCTATGTTATGAAAACCAAAACATTGGAGGAAGCTATGGATATTTTCACAAAGGTATTGTTAGTTACTTGATTAATCAGTTTTCAAAGTTTCTTGGTTTCTCTCCTTTCTTTGTAACGTTAACTTATTAATGGATGATGATGATGTGTAAAAAAAAAAAGCAGGAGACGCGTGAGGGTTTAAGAGCTAGTGAAGAAAGAGGACGATGCATGAATTTGAAGAATGATGATGATGATGATGATGATGAAGACGAAAGAATGATGTTTATGAGTCCTCATGGTTGGGACATTGCTACTGCTCCTTTCTAATTTGTTTTTAACTCTTTTTTTTGTTTGTCTCTTCCGTTTTTTGTTTTCCTCTACTACTATACTTTCGTTTTCAGTTTTCCTTAAATCTTTGTCTGTACATATATACTTACGCATATGTAGATGTTGAATAAGCCGTACGTGTACTTTACATCCTTCGTTTTTATTATAGAAGGAAAAAATCGTCATGTACACAATCGCAAAAGATTTTTCTTTAGTATATCTGAAATCTATGATTATATTTGATCCTCAGAAGTTTTTTCTTTTTTGTTACGAAGCAGCAAGATGATTTTAAATTCGGCCAACCATGGCAAACCAAATATCCTATGTATGTAAAAAAAAAAAAAAAAAAAAAAAAATCCTATGTATAGTTTCTGTTAGTCGTAAAGGTCAACCTAATTCATCTTGGGAATAAAGCAAACGTGAGACAAATGTCAACAAAACCAAAGGAAAAAGCTATGAAATTAATTTTAAAACAAAGAAGCAATCATTTGGGGTTTGTCATGGGAGAGGACTGATCAAGCTGCATCTCTTGCTCAATGTTTTGTAGATTAATATATACCCATACGTGTTTCCTTCGTCTGTGGACATAAGCCATCGGGCGAAATCGTGAATCACTTCGTGCATGATGATAGTTTTACTACATGACATCATGGCTGAAAAATCTAAGACGGGACATTATTACATTCGTAGGGATTTTCTCTTTGACAAATGCAGTCATGTTCGTCTTTAGGTGGTTTGGGTTCATCTTTTAAGTTCTTACATGTGCATTGAAGAAAGCGTTGTTTCATTTTAGCTTCCATTTCTTTAAAGCATTTCTTCTTTCCATGAAATCCGCATTTTCCAGGAAATGTGACGAGTTCCCAACAGTCTTGTGGAGGTGCTCCAGCTTCCACCTCTGATTTTATTATATTTTATATATCAACCAAAACAAATTCTTAGCTTAGCTAGCTATAGAATTAGTAATATAGATTTCTTGTTAAAAAACATTACCTTTAACATGGCTTAGAATTAAACAGATGGAAAAACAAGAAAACATAAACAAAGTAGTAGACCTCATGTGCTCAAAAAATGATAAAAATGATCTCTACTGCTTCAGGAGATTATTAAATTTTTATCTAACTCTCGTAGTGAATATGTTCTTTTGTTTGTCTCTTATCAACCACACTAGCTAGTAGTAGTATGTATTTGTGTCGCCCAATTTATAGCTAGTAGTGTGTATATGAACCACACAACAAAATGATTGTTCCTATAAATTTGAGAAGAAAGAACATACAAGGGTGGAGCCAAGTCAACAAGATCCCCAGTAGAATCGGCTCCCATTTTTTAGAAAACACAATTCTTACTATTTTTTTTTTTTGTCGATAAACACAATTCTTACTAAAATTCACCTTTTCTTTGCAATTCTTTTTTAATTAAAACTTAGTTACATAAATAATTTTTTATTGTTTAATTATTTTTTGTGCGTCAAATCCCTATTTTGATGTTTGAAAATAAAATTCATGATTATGTGAATTCACATTAATTAATTTCCACCATTTTGATGATATAATTATGATGCAGCCATTCATGATTATTATTATTATTATTAAGCTATGATACATATACATAGTGTCATCCAAATCAAATATTTGTTGAAGAACTTAAGGAAACATGTATCAAAAACATCGGAATTTAACCAATCTAAAAAATCGTTTAATTACATCTATCTTAACATTTTTGAAGTACATTTTGTACTAAAATCTATTTTGGCTTATAACCTTTTATTTTGTATTATTTGCATAATCAAACTCTTGTCATTTGAATAAATAAAGAAACTTAAAGTAAATTTTGTAATTAAATCACAAGCAAATCCCAAAATTGGAAACCAAATATTTATTACATCAAAAAATTTCCTAAAATCCCTCTCTAATAAACCAAATCTCTCTCCAATATATTTATATA